CTAACTCTGTAAACTAACTCTGTAAACTAACTCTCTAAACTCTAACTCTGTAAACTCTGAACTCTAACTCTGTAAACTAACTATAAACTCTAACTATGTAAACTCTAACTCTCTAAACTCTAACTCAGTAAACTCTAACTCTGTAAACTAACTATAAACTCTAACTCTTTAAACTCTAACTCTAAACTCTGTAAACTCTAACTCTAACTCTGTAAACTCTAACTCTCTAAACTAACTCAGTAAACTCTAACTCTGTAAACTAACTCTGTAAACTATCTATAAACTCTAACTCTGTAAACTCTAACTCTGTAAACTCTGAACTCTAACTCTGTAATCTCTAACTCTGTAAACTCTAAACTCTAACTCTGTAAACTCTAACTCTCTAAACTAACTCAGTAAACTCTAACTCTGTAAACTCTAACTCTGTAAACTCTGAACTCTAACTCTGTAAACTAACTATAAACTCTAACTCTCTAAACTCTAACTCTGTAAACTCTGAACTCTAACTCTGTAAACTAACTATAAACTCTAACTCTATAAACTCTAACTTTGTAAACTCTAACTCTCTAAACTCTAACTCTAAACTCTGTAAACTCTAACTGTAAACTCTAACTCTGTAAACTCTAACTCTGTAAACTCTAACTCCGTAAACTCTAGCTCAGTAAACTAACTATAAACTCTAACTCTATAAACTCTAACTGTAAACTCTAACTCAGTAAACTCTAACTGTAAACTCTAACTCAGTAAACTCTAACTCTATAAACTATAGCTCAGTAAACTAACTATAAACTCTAACTCTATAAACTCTAACTGTAAACTCTAACTCAGTAAACTCTAACTGTAAACTCTAACTCAGTAAACTCTAACTCTATAAACTATAGCTCAGTAAACTAACTATAAACTCTAACTCTATAAACTCTAACTCTGTAAACTAACTCTGTAATCTCTAAACTCTAAGTTCACTGACCTCCTTCATGCAGGGTTTTGTCTATTGAAAGTGGCTCTGAGTGTTTTATGAGATTGAGGATGAGGTGCTGATCTTGTTCCTCTGCTCTGGTCTCTCAGCAGTAAGTCCAGTAAGGAGGAGGCGGTGTTGCAGAGGAAGACGGCGGCCAGCGCTCCTCCTCCTCCTAGCGAGGAGCAGATCTCCAGCAGCTCTGAGGATGACTCTGAGGAAGAGCGCGAGGATGAAGGGACGGCCTCACAGCGCTCCACGCCGATCAGACTGTCCGAGCCGAGCGACAGCGTCCGCGCGCATGAGGTACAGCATCCGCTCACCACTGCGATTCACCATTAAACTTACACTTACTCCAGCTGCTCGAAACACAAGCTTTTGTGGTGTGGCTGTTCAGAATGGAATAGTAGCATACTAATTGGACTGTGTCTGCAGTATGTACACTGTATGCAGTATGCATGTGCACTAAGCAACAGAGCACATTACATGAGATGTTGTATCCCACAATGCAACAATGTTAGTGTACTGGTGCTTGAACATTTGCTGTTCAAACATGCAAACTGTTTTACATTTATATTTTTTAACAAATAGTAGGTAGTGTACAGTATATACTGCACAGTATTCAAAAAGAAGTAAGCAAGTAGTTTCAAACTTTAGTAGGCTATAGTGCTGTTATAGTTAACTAAATCTCTCTC